TTGGGTGCTCACTTTTTACCGCTACACAGATGCTGACATTTCAGCTATCCTGACAAGTATAAATTTGGTAAGTAGCCAATATCCACAGATCCATGTCACATTCTTAAAAGAAATAGAGCATGTCTCAGAAAATTCAGAGTCACAGAGAAAGGATGCATTCTGAGGAACCAAGAGGCATGGTGCCACCTTATCTATTATACTTGCCTTAACAAACTGTCTGGATTATATTTGCTCTTATTGCTGACCAAACACATTGAACCTCACAATGTCCATTCTAAAAGCTTTGTTCCCCGCAAAGCGTAAGAAGGCTGTTTTATTCAGTTTTTGAGTGGATATTTATGTCAATTGTTGGATATGCATTGTTTATCTTTTGGAAGCATGATTTGAAAATGGAATCTGTAGGAGTGTTTTACTAAGATGTCTCTGATGAGTGCCAGTGTTAAAATTTCTTGTCAGTTTTTTTTAGTGAAAGCAAGTCATGCAACTTGAATAAGATTGTAAGATACAGATAACAAGATAATCAGGGATATAAAGAATCTCAAAGCCTAAGATTATCTAAGTATGATGTCATGTTTTGTGTATATATATATAATATCTTCACTGTTGTTAATATTTTGCTCTCTTCTCTCTGGAAAGATCTCTGATGATTCAATGGTGAATCAGTAGGTTTCTAGTAGTCATGAGATGGCTTACTGTAAGAAATCATACCCTGATCACACACTGATAGGTATCTTTCAATCCATTGTGGAGGGTGAGATTTTTTTCCTTCTCTTACTCTAATTTCTTGGCATATTTACTGTACTGCCAATTTCCTAATTTTGTTCAATTTTATAAAATGCTATATAAATCAAAATAATCACTGAGAAAATTTTTACTCAATCCATACAGGTATGATTTTTCATGTATAGATTTGATTATTTTCCAATTCGAGAAAATTTTTTCCATTTCAGTTTTCAATACATTTTAATATTTTATTGCATTATATATTTTATCTCTAAATTGATAGTCAAGTTTAATACATGTATGCATCAATAAATTATTCAGTATGTACATGTCAGTAAGGTGTGTTCCCAGGCACTCTGCTATGTACTATTAACTCACTATGGTTTTCTCTTCCAGAATAAGTTACTGGATATATTTCAGTTCAATTCAGTTGCTCAGTTGTGTCCTACTCTTTGTGACCCCATGAACCACAGCATGCCAGGCCTCCCTGTCCATCACCAACTCCCAGAGTCCACCCAAACCCATGTCCATCAAGTCAGTGATGCCATCCAACCATCTCATCCTCTGTCGTCTCCTTCTCTTCCTGCCCTCAATCTTTCCCAGCATCAGGGTCTTTTCCAATGAGTCAGCTCTTCGCATGAGGTGGCCAAAGTATTGGAGTTTCAGCTTCAACATCAGTCCTTCCAGTGAACACCCAGGACTGATCTCCTTTAGGATGGACAGGTTGGATCTCCTTACAGTCCAAGGGACTCTCAAGAGTCTTCTCCAACACCACAGTTCAAAACCATCAATTCTTTGGTGCTCAGCTTTCTTTATAATCCAACTCTCATATCCATACATTTAGTTTATTCTAATAAACATTTCTTTTAAGTAAGCTTTAATAAGATCTGCAACAATAGAATTTTGTTTGAAATGCATAAAGTAAGTGACCTCTCAGTATTTTTATTTGTAATAGCCTTCTTAGATAGAAACTTGGTTTGTATCTGTTATCACTTAGAAGTGGTTTTCATAATTTCTGTTTAATTTCAAAGGTTTTGACTTTTTTCCATTTTTCCATCACATTTCTTAGTGTTCATGTTTTTCAAATTTTTGTTTGTATTTCAGTAACACTGCATTTAAATTTTAAAATAGAAGAAAGCTTCTTAAAAAATTAATATTGATTTTTAATTTTATTGCATATATGCATGCCCATCATTTCTTGTTAATTATAATATTTTAAATGATTTTAAAAGGATTTTTAATTATATATGGGTCAACTTTGAGTATGAAGATGCACTTCTTCATTTTCTCAAAATATATATATTCCTAATATTATAGCATTGAAAATGCTAGGCACATCACCACTCTTATAAATCTTTTGAATATGTCTATAAAGTACAAATTCTCTTTTATTATGACAATTGCATTAACATTTCACACTAACAAATACCAATAACTTAAAATTCAATGTTTCTACTTTTTATAAAATTTATTTTTCATAATCGTCTTTAAATCTTAAGCAGCATACTCCCATTTTATATTTACATTATGCATCTTAGTTCTCTTTATTTCAAAGATTTGTCTTACATCCTTGTGTTGTATTTGTCATATATGTGTATGTGCTAAGTCACTTCAGTCATGTCTGACTCTTTGTGACCCTATGGACAACAGCCCACCAGGCTCTTCTGTCCATGGGATTTCCCAGGCAAGAATGCTGGAGTGGGTTGCCATTTCCTTCTCCAGGGGATCTTCCTCACTCAGGGATCAAACACGCATCTCTTAAATCTCCTGCACTGGCAGGCGGATTCTTTACCACTAGCGCCACCTGGGAAGCCCCATTTGTCATCTATATGATGGTGTAACTAGGTCCTTTGGGATAATTTTCCACGTTTTCTAATATAATTGTGTTTCTTCGATAGCTTTAACATGTTCTCCATTGCTTCCAATAAATGTATAATTACAGCCCGGGCCATTGATCAAATTCACTCTGGTCACAGTTCTCCATAGGCAGGGCTGAGTCTTCTTTTTTTTGGTTGCACCAAGCAGCATGTGGGATCTTAGTTTCCTGACTAGGGATTGACTCTGCACCCCATGAATTGGAAGTGTGGAGTCTTAACCACTGGACTGCCAGGGAAATCCCATGGACTGAAACTTTTGACTGCAACATCAACAGATGCCCTAAAGTCTGAGTGTCTGTGTTTTTCAAAGTTAATGACTGATGCAGTAAAAATTTGTATTCTAAGGCAAGTCAAGGATAATTTAAATATGAAAATTTTTCTCTGTCCTTTGACCTCCCTTTCCCCTCTACTGTATATCATATATCTGCATTATGCACCCCCCAAACCTCCCCATTGGCAGAAATACCTGCTTAACCCATAAACAGCAACATTTTCCTAGCACCAACAAGACAATGCCTTAAAAGATAATGTGCCTGGGCTTCCCTGGTGGCTCACCGGTAAAGAATCCTCCTGCTAATGCAGGAGACAAGGGTTCCATCTGTGATCCAGGGAGATCCCACATGCCTCAGAGCAACTAAGCCCATAAGCACAACTGTTGAGCCTGTGCTTTAGAGCCCAGGAGCCACACTACTGAATAGTTGTGCCACACTACTACTGAAGTCCCTGTGCCCTAGAGCCCATGCTCCACATCAGGAGAGGCTACTTCAGTGAGAAGCCTGCACACCTCAACTAGAGAGTCGCCCCTGCTGGCCACAACTAGAGAAAAGCCCAAGCAGCAAGGAAGACCCAGCATTGGCAAAAATTACATAAATTATTGTTTTAAAAAAAAGATAATATGCCTCCTTGATGGTGTAAGTGATCATGATAACCTACGACTTTGTACTTACAGATCTAGATTTTGCCAATTATCTATGGCATTTAAAGTAGCCTTCTGGGATTTCCCTGATGGTTCAGTGGCTAAGACTCTGGGCTCCTAATGCAGGGAGCTCAGGTTTGATCCCTGGACAGGGAACTAGATGCCACATGCCACAACTAAGGACTGGTGCAGCCAATAAATAAAATTAAAAAGAAAACATTTAAAGTAGCCTTCTGTCACAAAAACCTACATAATGCTACATCATTATGCTTTGATCTTTAACAATCTTTAACAGTTCTTGGAGGTTTCTGAGAGCATGTTCCTGGGTTATAATCCTGTTTGGCCTGAGTAAAATGTTCCATTTCTTTCTTAGATTGATTGTTTCCTTTTATGAAACCTTAGTTCCCCCACCATGGGTCGAACCTGCACTCCCTCCATTGCAAGCGCAGACTCTTATCCCCTAGACTGCCAGGGAAGCGCAGACCCATTAATTTTTCTAGGACACAGTGGGTTAAATTGTAATTAGGGTTTTTTCCATCCATTATCTTTTTTACCCCACTGAACTTTTCTCTTTTGTGCCACTGTCCTCTGCAGCTAATTGGATTGAAGTAATTGATTGGTGGGGCTTCCCTGGCGGGTCAGTGTAAAGAATCTGCCTGCCTGCCAATGGAGGAGACACGGGTTTGATCTCTGGGGCAGGAAGATTCCCTGGAGTAGGAAATGGCTACACATTCCAGTGTTCTCGCCTAGAAAATCCCATGGACAGAGCAGCCAGGTGGGCTACAGTCCTCGGGGCAGCAAAGAGTCAAGTAAGACTGAGCACTCTTTCTGCATGAAAGTCAAAGAGTTCGTCGCTCAGCCGTGCCCATCTCCTTGCAACCCCATGGACTGGGGGTTGCCTGCCAGGTTTCTCTGTCCAGGAGATTTCCCAGGCAAGAATGCGCTCCAGGCAAGAATACTGGAGTGGGTAGCCACTGCTTTCTCCAGGGGATCTTTCCGATCCAGGGATCGAACCCAGGTCTCCTGCATTGCAGACAGATTCTTTACCGTCTGAGCCACCAGGGAAGCCTTTCTGCATGTTCGTCAAAGGGAAATGCTTGATACCTTCTCTTTCTTTAGCCTTAGATAGTTTGCGCACAATTTCCCCAGCCTCCTCGTGGAGGAGCTCAGCATTTTGGCCTGGAAACGGGAACTACAGGACTCAGAATTCCTTGCGTCGAAGGCAGTGTTCTTTATTGGCTCAGGAACACGGAGTTACCGTTTGGGCACAAAGAGTGGGGGCGGGACCGCCTAACTCCGCCTCCAGGCGGCCATTTTAACTGCCCCAAGCTCGTGCCTGGTCCGGAACGCTAGGCTGGGACGGAGGTGATGCGATTGAGGAGGCCCGAGAGGAGGTGCTGTCTCCGCTGCACAGAGGCGGGCCCGAGGTTCGGCGCCTCCCGAACCTCGCGCCAGGCCCGGGAGCGAGACCGCGGCGCGGGTATCCCTCCGCCTCTCGAGCACTGCGGTCCCCTGCGCCTAGAAGTCCGATGGCGGCGGCGGCGGCGTTGAGGGACCCGCCTCAGGTAAGCGCTCGTCCTCCGGGCCCGCACCGCCCTCAGCCCACTGGACACTAAAGCCCCGAGCGCCAGACGCCTGTTTCCGCTCCCACAGTTCAGGTCCCCGGGTTCAGGACGGTGAGGCAACCGTGGGTGGGGCCTTGCGTCTGACGGTTTGGTGGCGCTTCGGAGAGGGTGCAGGCAGAGGGACCCGCAAGTGCAGAGGCTTGGACGTGGGACTTAGCTGGGTGGACTCGGGCATCCTGGGGTCCATCTGATGTCTGCAGGGAATAGACAACATGAGGCAGCTGTTAAGCCTGGACTACTAGAGTGCAAGTTGTCCATTACTGTGAGAACTCTAGAAGCGACGGGTAGTTTTAAGAAAGAAAGTGCAGAATCCACGTCAGAGGTTAAAGTGTTTTCAAAAGCTGTTCAAAGGAAAAAGATGCAGAGACATCAAATTGATGATTCCGGGGTGCTCTGGCCTGTTTCATTTAGCCTGGAGAATAAGATCAGGGGAAAATGTGGTCATTTGTGAGCATCAGTAGGCCTGAGGTGCGCCACCGATGGGCTAGGCTTTGGATGAGAGTTAGGTGGACAGAAGAAGGTTGTGACAGATAAGAGAACAGCAGGTACAGCCTCAAAGTGGAGTAGGGCCGTGGATGTCGGAAACGAACAGGCGATGTGTGTGGCTGAGTCTCAGGTAAGAAATGGAGCCTCTCAGGGAGGCCTTTAATAGAAGATTTTGGCGCTGCCACCGCTACTGGGAGCCATGAGAGGCCTAGGGAATTACTGGATCCTGTATGAATTTGCCAAACATATTCTGGATGCTGTCTGCTAAATTGTGGTGTAAGTCCTAAAATTAAGTCCCAGTATTATATGCTGCCTGGACATGTGTTAAAACTGGCAGGACCTCAAATGACCGTAGCACCAGTTCCCCACCTTGCTCTGCCCCAGTGGATAAGGTCACCTTAACTAAACAACCCTTTTCATAAAGGGGCTGAGGTATAATTCCTGCTTATCCCTCTGTAGTGGGTTTCAGTGCCCTGTCATCCAGCCCTTTGGGGTTATTTAGAAAAGAAACTTGCATCCTCTGGAGAGCAGGGGCACTTTACCTTCTTGGTACTATAAAGCTTATGTCCCACACCTCTTGGTTGTCCACTGTTTTCCAGAGTAGCCCTGTGTGGTGTGTGGTGTTCTCCTATTCTATCTGTGGATATATAGGATTAATAAGATGCTACTGATAACATCTGTCCAGTGTTAGTTGTCCTATGTTTGGTCATCACTATAACTCTAGGTAGGAATCCCATCCTCACCAGTGGAGTGAAAAGGATGTGACCAAAATACTTCAACATGAGGGGAGGCCAAGGAGAGGCTTATATAGTGGGATGGTGAGGTGGTGCTGGCTGTGGGCACGTGCCTGTGGTGTCTGGAGATAAGAGGGATGTGCAGTCTAGAGAGTGATGTGTACATGGAGAAGGTGTATGTCTGATGGTCCCAGGTCTCTGGTATTGTGATTTACATGACCTTGACCATACCAGGGTTATTGCCTGGCAGGAGTGTTGGATTCCTCTATGTCAGGCCCACAGTTTTAAGTATCTGTGCACCTGTCTCTTGTCGCTGATGGCTGGACCCCATAATCAGTGGGCCTATAGGGATACAATGGCACCAGGGCCTAGTTTCTCCTCTGACTGGGGAGATTGGGAGGAGGATGGTCATAGAATAGATATATAGGTCCTCTTGAGAGGAGCTTGTTTGTGATTTCATCTGTCCTGATTATGACAGGATAGTGTGACTTTTGAAGATGTGGCCGTGAACTTTTCCTGGGAGGAATGGGGTCTTCTTGATGAGTCTCAGAAACGCCTGTATCATGATGTGATGCTGGAGAACTTGGCACTTATAAGCTCCCTGGGTAAGAACCTCAAACCCACCCCTCCCCTGAGCTAGTCTCCGCCCTTTCTCTTTGTCCATTGGCAAGTCTCCTTTCTCACTTCAGGACCCTGGGCACTGCTTCCTTCATCAGTTCCCTAAGTAGGTTTTGTGGTTGGTAGGGCTGAGGAATGAGCACTGCCCTCTTTTCTCCTTAACAGATCCAAGACCTGCTTCCCCTTGCCTTGCAGGGATGGATCCAGAGTCAGGAGTCTCTCCACCTTGTTTACCCTCTCCATAGCCAGGTGCATTTTCCAGATCCAAGGTACCAGTCTACCCCAGGTTCTATTTCCTTTCTCTGGCTAACATTTCCTCATTCTTGCTTGTTCCAGAAATTGCTGTCATTGACCTGCTCCTTTTATATGGAGCATGGGCTATTCTTGCAAGATACTCCTCTGAAATTCTTTTTGTAATATTTAATTTTATGTCTTGTGCTGAGTTATTTTTGGCCAGTGCTGGCTGCTTTTCTGTCCTGTCTTTATCATAGTCCTTGAATCATCCAGGTTCTTCATAGTTACTCATCAAGAGGATGAAGTGGAGAGGCTCACAGAACAGAAAGGACTCCAACTACAGCACATGGAACTTGGACATAGTCTGGTCCTGATAAGTGACCCCTGGGGGAGGGTGTAATGTCAGGGCTATATGCAAATCATACCAGAAAGCTATTCTCTGACTAGCCTTTGGGTGCCAATCACAATGGCCGCCATACTTGCTCCCTGCACTTCCCCATTCTTCGGTTAGCCACCTTCTCAACACTGTTACTTGTCACTTCTTATTTCCAACTTAGGGCTAATTCTTACCTCCCTGAACTCCATTCCTCAGTGCTTTTTCACACTGCTTCTTCTGCAGTGCTGTCCAACATCAGCCTATACCTTTTGTGTCATAAGGTATGTACATTTTTAATCCTTCAACACCAGCTGCTCTGTTACAGTTGGATTTTCCTGAGCCTGAATATAACCTACTACGTAGTATTCATGTGTCACTACCAGTCAAGGTCCTACTGAAAATTGTTTGCAGAATGAGCTGTAGACCCTGCCTCTTCTTGTGTCACTCTCCATGGTTGTGTCCTTTACTTTGTGAGAACTTCCCCATTCTGTAATCTTTAAAAGCCCAGTGCTGCTAAGCAGCCCCATCCTTAACTTGAATGCAACCACCTTATCTTACAAACAATCCCATTGACTCATTCCTGGATTTATAATGCCCACATTTGTAATGGGCCTTTTTCTTTGCACAAAGTCAGTATGTATGTCACCAGCATTTCTCTGCTTTCAGGTTGTTGGCCTGGAGAAGAGGATAAGGAGGCATTTTCTGAACAGAGTATTTCTGATCAAGGATACTCACAGATCAAGATTGTTAAGGCAGGTCTGTCTCCACAGAAGGCCAACCTCTATGAGATATGTGGCCCTATCTTGAGTGACATTTTTCACTTGGCTGAGTACCAGGAAACACACTGTGGGCAGGAACTCCATGTGAGTGGGATATGTGAGAAGCCATTCTATTTTAGAGTAAACTTTCATCAGCACCAAAAGCAGCATATTGGAGAGAAACCATTGAGAAGTGATGTGGGGAGAGCCTTGTTTGTGAACAGCTGCAAAGTCTATGTATCAGTGAAGCCCTTTACCCTTGGGAATATTGAGAAGGACTTCCTGGGCAACTCAGGATTTCTTCACCAACAGGCCACACACACCTGGCACAAGTCACACAGTGGAACTAAGTGTAAGACTCCCTTTCTAAGGGGAAAAAATCATTATAATTGGGGAGACTACACAAAACCTATGAGTGGCAAACACACACTTGTTCAGCACCAGAGAGTCCTCACTAGAGAAAGATGTTACATGTGCAGCGAATGTGGAAAATCATTTAGCAAAAGCTCTCATCTCATTAGACATCGGAGCGTTCACACTGGAGAAAGGCCTTATGAGTGTAACGAATGTGGCAAATCTTTTAGCCAAAGCTCGAACCTCATTCAGCATCGGAGAGTTCACACTGGAGAAAGGCCTTACAAGTGCAGTGAATGTGGGAAAGCCTTTATCCAAAGATCACATCTCATTCAGCACTGGAGAGTTCACACTGGAGAAAGGTCTTATGAGTGTAAAGAATGTGGGAAATCTTTTAACAAAAGCTACAGCCTCATTCACCATCAGAGTGTTCATACCGGGAGAAGGCCTTATGAATGTGGTGAATGTGGGAAATCATTTTCCCAAAACTCTGTGCTCCTTCAACATCAGAGAGTTCACACTGGAGAAAGTCCTTATGAATGCAGTGAATGTCAGAAATCTTTTCGACAAAGCTCTGCACTCCTTCAGCATCGGAGAGTTCATACTGGAGAAAGGCCTTACGAGTGTGGTGAATGTGGGAAATCCTTTAGATATATCTCCAACCTCATTACGCACCGGAGAGTTCACACAGGAGAAAGGCCTTACAACTGCAGTGAATGTGGGAAATCCTTTAAGAAAAACTCTTCACTCCATCAACATTGGAGAGTTCACACTGGAAAAAGACCTTATGAGTGCAGTGAATGTGGGAAATCATTTCGCCAAAATGTTGTCCTCCTTCAACATCAGAGAGTTCACACTGGAGAAAGGCCTTACAAGTGCAATCAGTGTGAGAAATCCTTTAGATACATATCCAACCTCACTACTCATCGGAGAGTTCATACTGGAGAAAGGCCTTATAAATGTAGTGAATGTGGGAAATCATTTAGCCAAAGCTCTAACCTCATCACACATCGGAGAATTCACTCTGGGAAAAGGCCTTAGAATTTGGGGAATCTGTTGAGTTCTTTACCTACAACTCCAGTCTCTTAAAACACTGGATCAAGGCCTTATGAATGCAATGAAAGTGATAAGGCCATTAACCCAAAGTCTTGACTCTTTGGAACCACAGATTTCAGAAGGGAAAAACACATGTGTAGGATCGTACAATTTCCTTTTTCAGCGAATCTACTCTTGAGATCCTTCCTGGTGGTACCATCTGAATTGAACATCATACATCCAAACATCTGCAAACATCCCAGGTATGTGGGAGCTACATTGTACTTTTTAACCCGGCCTCTTGTCAGACTTCTGTTACTGACAGTTTCTGTGGCCAAAGCCATGTCACTTCTCCCACCTGTCAGGTTTCAGCCACCCCCGAGTGTTCAGGAAAGGAACCTTGATTTTTCCCATTCATGGGAGGGACTGTGAGAAGCCAGAGAAGCACTCATTTCCTCTCATTGCTTTGATGAGTTATGTCACTGACATGACCCATTTTGGGTCCAGAGGACTCTGCTTGTTGCTCAAGGCTTCCCAGGAAAGACTGCAGAACTTTCTGGTTCTAATCTGTGGCCTGAGTGTGTATTTTCTGGGTTCAGAGGTCAATCTAAGGAAGGAGTAGTCATTGTGACAACCATCAGTGCTTCTGAAAATAGCATGAAGTTGTCTTGTTTACAGGGGATATTGCCTTGTGTGTGCGCACTGGTGAGGAACATACTCTCAGGCTCTGCAGTGGAGCCATGTGCTCTCACATGCAGAATTCTGTAGGTAGTATCACTGGTTCTAAGATTATGGTGGGGATGGTAATTGTTACAGAAAGCACTAGATTAATAGTGGGAGCAGGACACTATTACAGACCGGTTGGATGTGCCCATTTAAAAGAGCCTCCACAGTGTTCCCAGTCATTGTGGCTGTGAAGGATGAGCATGTACAGAAATTCTCAGGCCTCCTAAATTGTGCATCTTGTATTAGCAGTGAGCATTATAGGAGAAAATAATCCAAAAGTTTTGTGGTTTCTGTTATCTCTCTGAGCTGTCCTCCTCAAGGCCATTTCTGTGCAGATAGAAAAGTGAGGATAGAGAGAAGGGATATCTTTTCAGTGAGTAGCAGACATTGTGACAATATTCCTGTTGAGTCACGTTGGGAACAGTCTTCATTGCTTATATTTTTGACCTCTGAGGCCAACTGCCCCTCCCAAAGCATGAGGCAGAGAGTGGTGAAGTCAATATCGGGAATTTATTTAAATGGTGAGAAATCCAGATTTGTATTTTGAATATATTTTTATGTTTTAATAACATAAAAATACTTGCAGTAAAATGCACATAGTTAAAGTATACACTTTGATAAGTTTTGACATTTATATGAATCCATGAAACCATCATCACATCCATAAAAAAACTGACCTACTTTTATTTTTACCTTGTTTCCTTTTTTGATGTCACTCTGACCTCTAGTCAACCATTGATTTGTTTTTCTTTAGATGAGTTTTAATTGTCTAAAATTTTATATGATTAGAATCACGAAGTGTTTATGCTTTTCCTCTCAGGTACCCTTATGTGAAATATTTATCAGTGAGTAGTTCATTTTTTTATATTGATGAGAATTCTATTCTGTGGGTATACCACTGTTTGTCCATTCATCTGTTTATCTGTATTTGAGTTCCCAGTTTTTGACTGTTGCAAGTAAAACTGCAGACATTGGAATATATTAAAAGTTCTTCACATGGTTATGTTTCACTTTTCCTGTATTAATACTTTGGGCTGCAATGCCTGAGTTACAGGCTTAGTGAATGTATGACTTTTTAAAGAACATTATACTATGTTAAGGTAGGAGAGGTTACGCAAGAAAAAGATGAAAACCCAGCAGTCTTCCTGATCCAGGTGATAAGAGGCATTAAGGAATTACATCTGTACAGACCCTGAGTCCACAGAGGGGAGAACACTATTTGCCATGCATTTTATCATGCAGGCTACTCCTGATATCTGTAGAAAATTACAAAAGCTTGAGCTGGGCCCCAGACCCCATTGTCAACCTTGGTAAAGGAGGCCTTCAAGGTCTACCAAGACTCGATGGAGGAGGCCAATAAGCATAAAAGACTAATAAAGAAAATGCAGCTCTTGGCTGTTTTGATTCAGCCACCACCTCGAGGGGACCTTGAATGACTGAGAAAGCTGGACAGACTCCCAGGAAGCCACCTGGGCCTGAACCAATGTGCTTTTGTCAGAAAGAGGGACACTGGAAGGGGGGATGTCTTGAGTGCCCTCCTGGGGGACACCCAAGGGGCAACCCTGACCAACCCCAGTTCTTTGTGAATAAGTTGGATGAGAGAGCTCACACAGTGACTGATTGGGCCTGAGTGCCTGCCTGGGTATAGATCCTGCTTGATCCATTTTCATTACCTCAGCAGAGCCTTGGGTCAGTAAAACTGAATTCCTTGTAGACACTGGAGCTGCCTGCTCTGCTCTGACTTGGCCACCTGGCCCTTTCTCCGTCTGTGGACTGTACTCTGACGGGAGTTGGTGGACAGCCAAATGGAAGGCAGTTTAATCTCTCCATGGCTTCCCAGGTGGCACAGTGGTAAAGAATCTGCCTGCAATGCAGGAGACTTGGGTTCAATTCCTGGGTCAGGAAGATCCCTTGGAGAAGGAAAAGGCAGCCCAATCCAGTATTCTTGCCTGGAAAATTCCATGGTCAGAGGAGTATGGTAGGCTTCAGTCCATGGGGTCACAAAGAGTCAGCCATAGCTGAGCACATCAGCACATACTGTAATCTAATATGGTTGTTTCCTTTTGTATTCTTACAGAAGAGTTTGGGACTTCCAGTTCTTCCATATCCTTGCCAATATGTTTAGTCTTTTTAAACCTTTGACTTTTAAAATAAATGTGTAGTGTTATCTCACTGTTGTTTTAATTGCATTCCTCAAATGTGGAGTGTTTTTTCATTTTTTAAATTTCCCACTAGTGTGTGTCCTCTTGGTAACTTTCATCCATTTTTATAGAAATAATTTTGACTGTTTCTCTTCTTATTAGCAAGATAATGAAACAACAAAGACTTAATTTGAAACTTCATTCTTTAGGGATGTAATTCCTAGCCATAAGAAATAATTATTTTTAAATTCTGAAATACTATCTTCTAATTTTTTTCTGCTGTATACTGTGCAGTGGCCACGTACAGCATATTTTAAGTTTAATCTGCATTACTAACATAGTCCCCATAATCAAGCTAAGAATTACATTGTTTGCAGTTTCCCCAATGTGAATATTCCCACTGCTGTCAATTTAAAACTTCTAATGTGGTATCACTGAACATGGAGTTTGAGAGTGGACAGCATACCAGTATGTTGTGTTTCCTCTGTAGTGATATTTTATGGGCTTCCTAGGTGGCACAGTGGTAAAGAATCCCCCTGCCAGTGCAGGAGACACAAGAGACACGGGTTCGATCCCTGGGTTGGGAAGATCCCCTGGAGGAGGAAATGGCAACCTACTCCAGTATTCTTGCCTGGAAAATTCCATGGACAGAGGAGCTCTGATTCCTTATCCTAAAACCTTTGAAGTAGGTCTACTCGAAAGGTAAGAAATAGGCCCAGAAAACAAACCAAAAAAAGTTGAGAATCTGACAGCACCACTTGTCACACATGTTTCTTCCTAAATTTATTCAGCCGTTGGGGTTACTATTGTGGGAGGAAAATCAAAATGGAGTCTATATTGAGCAGGGCTTTCTAAAATGGGGTCCAGAGGCTATTCAGGAAGTGTGATTTATGCAGCTCTCAGCCTGGATGGAATCTGTTCTTTTGACTACTTATTGTCCTAATGAAGCCATCTAGAACATCTGCCAGGAACTTAGGATGCTTATCAAATCATTAGTCTAAAGTAACTCATGATCACCTATCTAATTTCCTAAATCCCATCAGACTCGATCACAGTTCTCACAAGGCAACTTGAAGAAACTCATGGCTTTCTGTCTTTGTAAGCCCCTGAGTCTCTTCTCCCGGAACATTCTTTTGGGGTTACCTGATTCTGTGTCTCCTGAATTGGCTTTTCTTAAGACTCCAAATAAACTCTTTTCTTACTTGCAGCCTCCTGTGTTGTTTTTTGGTTGGCATTACGTGGTGTCAGAAGCAGGATACAGGATGCAGACCTGCCCAAGCCCTCACCAACTCTGACACTGCCTTGGATTCAAAGCAGGTGCCTAGAAGCCCTTTGAGCTTTTCATCTCCTTGGTAATCCCAGATCATGGTGGTGAGTCTTCCTGTACTTAAGCCACCTACCTTGGTAGAAGTTCCAGTTTCAACAAAGGGTGTCCTTCGTTGCTGACTCTGTCCTCTAGGATTTTGTTTCTGGTTTTGCTTGAGTGGCCTCCGCTATTTTTAAAAATATTTTATTGAAGTATAGTTGATTACAGTGTCATGTTAGTTTCTTTTGTACAACAGAATGACTCAGTAATACATACATTCTTTTTCACTGTTTTCCATTATGGTTTGTCTGATGATATTGAATATAGTTCCATGTGCTATACAGTAGGACCTTGTTTATCCATCCTATATATAATATAATAGATGGCCTCTGCTAATCCCATATTCCGAGTCCTTCCCTCTCCTACCCCTATTCTGCCATGGCAATCTCAGGCAATCTCTCACTATGTATCTGTGAGTCTGCTGTTCTTTTATAGTGGCTCCATTCCACAGACAAGGAAAATGAGGCTCCAGAACCAGCGGGCAGCCCTGCTGCTGGGATGAGGCAGAGCAGTGACCTGAACCCCGAGGCAGAAGAGTCTCAGCGGGGCGGTTATCTGTCTGCTGAAGACACAGGTGCAGCCTCCAAGTGGGACCCACAGTAGGGATCCCAGCTACTTTGGGAAGAGCTCCCTGACTGGCCAGAGCCCCGTGGCCCCTGGAACTCTGCTGTCCCTGCAGCCTCGCTGTAGGCCCCACCACCTGCCTGCAGACTCTCAACTCACAGCTGCCCCCTTGGGGGCCTCCCTCTGGGCCCAGCCCTGTCTGTCCTCTAAGAGCCCCCAAGGCAGCCCCATCATTATCCCCCTTTTGCACTAGGGGAAATGTCATGTGTGAGACTGGAGGGGCATCGCTTGCTGTGAGCCCGGCAGAGGTGGGGGTGTAGACATCAGTCCAAGGCTCACCCACCATGTCCCCCCTCCCCTCTGGCCTGGTTGCACCCAAGAAACCTCTCCTCCTTGTTCCCTCGGGCTCCTCTTAGGGTCCCTCTCAGCCTCCCCTGGGGCCCTGAGATTCTCTCCAGATGCCGCTGGTCCCTGTGTTGATGTTCTCAGGTTGCCTAAACAAGGCCCCACAGTCTGGGAGTTTTAAGCACCAGAAGATTACTTCCTCACATTTCTGGAGGGTGGAAGTCTGAGATCAAGGGGTTAACAGTGATTTTTTTTTGAGGCTTGCAAATGACTGTCCTCCTCCTCTGTCTTTATATGGTCTTTCCTCCTACATGGTCCCTACCCCACAGGCCCAGAACGTCTTCCCCAGGTGTCACCCCAAACACATGACTGGCCCTTGCTGCCGCATGTGAGTCATCCCAAGGTTGTTGGTCTTCCTCCTCACGTCGCCGCAGGGTGTCTCCTCCAATCAGTGCCCCGCTGCTCAGCTGTCACCCAGTAATCACTCTCCCTGTTGTGGACCCTGGAAGAGAGGCTCAGGACTAAGAATGCCCACTGTAACCTTCACCAGTCCCTGTCCCCATGGCGCTTCTCTCACCTCCTCCAGCTAGTGAGTTTAGTTCTCACCACTTAAGAGGTAAAAAGAAGACCAGTGACTGACAATGAACATTCCTTAAGAACATTCCTATTCCCTGCTAGGGAACTAAACTTGACCACTATCCCTGAATGCACTAGATGAGGTCTGGCCCGTCTTGTACATCTGTGCCTTTCACATAGGATAGGATGACAGTGCCCCATGCTATCACACTATATCCCTAGATACATGGAGGCAGGTTGTATCTAGTACATGAAGTGTTTGTATCCAAGCTGTGTCATGGTGTGGTACCAAAATACAATCACACTGTTCATGTTTCCAGATGTGTCACATACAAATTATTATATTCCACAGATACACACTTAAAAAGACAAGAGATTGGACTTCCCCGGTGGCTCAGTGGTAAAGAATCTACCTGCCAATGCAGGAGAGCCTGGTTTTACCCCTGCTTCAGGAAATCCCACGTGCTGAGGAGCAGCTAAGCCCGTGTGCTGCAACTGCTGAACCCGCATGCCCTAGAGCCCGGGCTCCGCAACACGAGAAGGACACTGCAATGAAGAGTAACCCCGGTGCGGTGCAACTTGAGAAAAGCCCTCTCAGCAACGAGGACCCAGCCCAGCCAAAAATAAATAAATAAAAAACAAAAGAGATTTACTTCTTGTTGAAAATGGGGAATGAGATTTCCTTCCTCTCAGCATTTACTTTAGAAAACTTGTAGGAACTGTCTCATCTTTTTAAAATGCATGTCTTTGAAGACTTCTAAGAAGGCCTTTTTTCAGCTAGTCTTTTTTTTTTTTCCTCCAGGTTTAGGATTCCTATGTCTTTCTCAAGAACCTGGCTCCCATCTCCTAACACTGAAGATGGGGAGATAGCTCACCAGGCAGTTCTGTTAGGAGGATAGGAGTCGCATCTTAGTGGATGCCGTGCTCCGACTTTAAAAACTACCTTCAGTTATAGGGAAGAGAATTTTGTGTTTCCTCTAGATAAAACCAGTAAACTACACAGTCACCCCAATTACCAGGTAAAATTAGGACTCTGTGTGACAAATGGTATTGTCAACTCCTCTTTCTCGAGGACTAGGGGAGTTAGATTTTTTTTTTCTGTCTTTACAGTTTCCTAGTGGATTGCTTGTGATGCACTGTAATCCTTTAATACTTATTTTAACAATAAAATTGATTGTCTCTTTACTACCTTGTGGAAAAGATTTCTTGATTGGGAGAAATTTTTGTTTTCATTTCCCTAACAGTCATCATCACGCATCTCTCCACAGGGATCAAACCTCATCACCCATCTCATCGGCATCTATAGTATACAGGATATATGGGGGAAGGGTGGTCAGTATCAGTTCAACAGTATCATAGAATATGCCAAATTCAGACAAACTAATAACAACAAACTGTAAGAAATGAGAATTTTACAAGGTAAGTGCACCCCATGTGTTAAGAGATCTGTGAGAGACAGTTAATGAATGCTTCCAGAATATACTTTGGATTCTGATTGCAACTAATCTGATTTAAGAAACACATTTTGAGACAATTCAGCATTGATAAAATACTTACATTTTTATGATTACTGAGTTATGAAAATACCTTTTAAAAAAGTCAGTTCTGCAGAGATTATACATTAAATGATGCTGTATGTGGAATTAGTACTAGGCCCCCCTTATCTGCAGCAGGTAACATCCCAAGACCTCCAAGTGATTGCCCGAAACCAAGCGCTACATGTACTGTTTTTCCCTGTACGTATGTACCTGTGATAAAGATTAACAATAGCTGTAATAAAAGTGAGGGACTTCCCTGCTGGTCCAGTGGTTGGAACCCCAAGGTCCCAATGCAGGGGCACTTGGTTTGATCCCTGGTCAGGAAACTAGATCCCACGTGCCACAACTAAGACCCAGCACAGCCAAATAAATATGTATTTGTTAAGATGAATGTGGTCTCTCAAAATATATAATACTGTACTCACCTCTTTTGTGATGATGTGAGATGATAGAATGCCTGCGTGGATTACTAGACAAATGTATATTCATATGGGAGAGATGAAGAGGGTAGTGAAAGATTGCATTATGCAGAAAGGTTTGCAATTTAAAACTCGTGAATTGTTTCATTTCTGGAATTTTCCATTTAATATTTCCTTGGGTCTCTGAAACCCCTAAAAATAAAGTTTGCGAATAGGTAAGAAACTGGTAAACTAGACCGCTGGTGTAGATGGGGATAGATGAAGTAAGAATAGCTATGAAGGCTTCCCTGGAGGCTCAGCAGTTAAGAATCCACCTGTCAATGCAGGAGACATGGGTTCGAGTCTTGATCCAGAAGGATCCCACATGCCATGGAGCAAATAAGCACATTAAAAAAAGCAAAGAATGGCCACGAAATGATGTATGATTGGTTCATCTGGCTTCATAATAGTCTCTTTTTTTGGTATATATTTGAAAATAGCCATAACAATATACAATATGTCATTGTATCATTAATTTTATATGCTGAGTAGGAGAAATTTTAAAAAACAGGAGGAAAATTGGTTTTGGGGTTTTGAACATGCATCAACTCATCAAAAGTTACTTATTAATAAGTGTGTGTAACAAGTCAATTATACCTATACATTCAACTTTTAAAGTAAAATATTAAAACTTCCAACTCCCTAATCATATTAAATTCTATTACTGTGTTCTTGAGATTAATTGTAGCTACTCTATGTCCAAGGTGGAAATAGAATATATTGTTGGGCTGCTGGTAACTTTCCAACTCCCATCAACAGTGAAATCACACTGACTTTTTTTTTTAATTGAAGTTTAGTTGATGTATATTATAGAAATTATAGGTGTATAGTAATTAACACGCTTAAGATTATACTTCATTTATCACAAAATATATGCTGTATTTACCATGTACAATGTATCCTAGCTTATTTTATGGGCTTATTTTATGGATTTTCCAGGCGGTGCAGTGGTAAAGAATCCATCTGCCAATGCAGGGTTCGATCCCTGGGTCGAGAAGTTCCCCTGGAGTAGGAAATGGAAACCTGATCCAGTATTCTTGCCTGGAAAATCCAATGGACAGAGGAGCCTGGCAGGCCACAGAGTCAGACACAACTGAGTGACTAAGCACATAGCTTTATTTTATACCTAATAGTCTCTGCCTCTTTATCTGCTACTGCTGTAGTCTCTTCCCCACTTTTCTCACCCCTCCTCCCTCTCCCCACTGGTAACCACTAGTTTGTTCTCTATATCTGTGAATCTGCTGCTTAAAAATTCATTCAGTATCACTTGTATTTTTTAGATTCCACATGTAAGTGATATCATACAGTATTTGTCTTTCTCTGGTTGACTTGTTTCACTTAGAGTAAACCCTCTGAGTTCATCCATGTTGCTCTCAGTTCAGTTCAGTTCAGTCGCTCAGTTGTGTCCGACTCTTTGCAACCGCATGAACCACAGCACGCCAGGCCTCTCTGTCCATCACCAACTCCCGGAATTCACCCAAACCCATGTCCATTGTGTCGGTGATGCCATCCAACCATCTCATCCTCTGTCGTCCCCTTCTCCTCCAGCCCTCAATCTTTCCCAGCATCAGGGTCTTTCCCAATGAGTCAGCTCTCCACATCAGGTGGCCAATGTATTGAAGTTTCAGCTTCAACATCAATCCCTCCAGTGAACACCCAGGACTGATCTCCTTTAGGATGGACTGGTTGGATCTCCTTGCAGTCCAAGGGACTCTCAAGAGTCTTCTCCAACACCAAGTTAAAAAGCATCAATTCTTCGGCGCTCAGCTTTCTTTGTAGTCCAACTCTCATATCCATACGTGACTACTGGAAAAACCATAGTCTTGACTAGATGGACCTTTGTCGGCAAAGTAATGTCTCTGCTTTTTAATATGCTGTCTAGGTTGGTCATAACTTTCCTTCCAAGGAGCAAGCAAGCATCTTTTAATTTCATGGCTGCAATCACCATCCGCAGTAATTTTGGAGCCCAGAAAAATAAAGTCAGCCACTGTTTCCACTGTCTCCCCATCTATTTGCCATGAAGTGATGGGTTTGCTCTAAATGACGTGTTTCTCTAAATGACAAAATTTCATTGATTTTTTTTTTATGACTGAGTAGAACTCCATTTTCCTTGTGTGTGTGTGTGAATATGTATCAGTTCATCTGTTGATGGACACTTTATCTTAGTAATTATAAATAATGCTGCTATGAACATTGCGGTGCATGTGTTTTTTCAATGTATACATGTGTTTTTTTAAAGTGTTTTTGGTTTTGTGTTTTTTTGCACATATACCCAGGAGTGGAATGCTGGGTCATAGAGTAGTTCTAGTTTTAGTTTTTTGAGGAAGCTCCTTGCTTTTCCCCACAGGGTATGCACCAGTTTACATTCCTAACAACAGTGCACAAGAGTTCCCTCTTCTCTACATCCTCTCCAATGTTTGTTATTTGTGTTCTTTTGGATGATAATCATTCTGACAGGCATGCATTTCCCTGATGACTAGTGATGTTAAGCATCTTTTCTTGTGCCTGTTAACCATCTGTGTTTCCTTTGGGAAAAAAATGTGTATTCAATTCTCTGTCCATTTTTTATTTGGACTGTTCCATTGATGTTGAGTTGTATGAGCTGTTTATGTTGGCTATTAACCCCTTATTTTGGTGGCTCAGACGGTAAAGCATCTGCCTGCAATGTGGGATACCTGGGTTCGATCCCTGGTTTGGGAAGATCCCCTGGAGAAGGAAATGGCAACCCACTCCAGTACACTTGCCTGGAAAATTCCATGGGTGGAGGAGCCTGGTAGTCTACAGTCCATGGGATCACAAAGAGTCAGATATAACTGAACAACTTTACTATATATATAACCCCTTATCAGTCACATCATTTGCATATATTTTTTTCCATCCAGTAGGGTTTTTTTTGATGGCTTTCTTTGCTGTGCAGAAGTTTTTAGTTAAGTCCATTTGTTTGTTTTAGGGACAGATCCAAAAAAATATCGGTACGATTTATGTCAAAAAAATGTTCTGCCTATGTGTTCCTCTGGGAGTTTCATGATTTCTGGTCTTACACTTAGGTCTTTAATCCATTTTGAGTTTATTTTTGTATATGGTTATAGAGAATGTCCTAATTTCATTCTTTTACATGTAGCTGTCCAGTTTTTGCAGCACCATTTATTGAAGAATTTCTCTATTGTATATTCTAGTTTCCTTTGTTGTAGATTAATTGATCATAAGTACATGGATTTATTTCTGGATTCTCTATTCTGTGTCAAAATCAGGGAGTGTGTAACTTCAGATCTTTTCAGAATAAGGTAAAATTTAAGTCATAAGGAAGCACACTTATGTACTGTTTCCTTTTAAGGTTGATAGACATCATTGTATTTCATCAAATGCAAGATTTCATCCCATTTTCAGAAGAACCATGATTATATGTACCACTGAAAAAATACACAGCCAACTAAATCATGTCACACATTCAATTAAAAACATCCTGATTTCAGAGATGGGAAAACAAATGTATGTCTTAAAATTGACAAGATGTTATGTATAAAACTGGGTTGGCTGGAATGGTCGGGAGTCAGCATTCAGGCGAGCTAAAGTTTATTCCAGCAGGGCCTTCACACCATGTTTGACACTCGTTCCCGCACTGTTTGTTGTTGCTATGCACCTGTTTTGTAGGCTGACTCCCTCCAAAGGTGCTAGTTGGTACAGTGTCAAGTCCAGTTGTCTCAGCCAGAAATCTGCGTATCGTACGGGTCACCTTCCCTCCTATAGCTGACTCCTGTTCCTTGATTCTGCCTCTTCAATTCCTGTAACTGCCTCTTCCAAATGGCTGAGAGTCACAACAATTGCACTGGAGCAGGCCTCCGCCATCTGTTACAGGCATGTCCCAGGAGTCTCCTGACAGGACTCTGCATCCAGACTTTACCCTTCCACTTGATTCTCTCCACGACAGCCAGCTGAAACCTGTACTGCCTGATGGGAGCCTGTCTGTGCTCTTCACTGTCCGAGAATGACAGCCAGGCACTGGAGCCAGCTCCCTGAACTTATTTCAATCCAAAGCATGTGTGCCATAGGCTCTTTCACACCTGCCAGTCTTCTTCCCAGGTGGTGCTAGTGGTAAAGAACCCACCTGCCAATGAAGGAGACTTAAGAGACGCGGGTTCGATCCGTGGGTTGGGATGATCCCCTGGAGAAGGAAATGGTAACCAACTCT